ATGCATGGCTTCCTGGCACTCACAGGGTTAACCCCCCCCCTGTGCTATCCAATGCATGGCTTCCTGGCACTCACAGGGTTAATCCCCCGCTCTGTGCTATCCAATGCATGGCTTCCTGGCACTCACAGGGTTAACCCTCCCCCCTCTCTGTGCCATCCAATGCATGGCTTCCTGGCACTCACAGTGTCAATCCCCTCCCCCTCTGTGCTTTCCAATGCATGGCTTCCTGGCACTCACAGGGTTAATGCCCCCCTCCCCTTGTGCTCTCCAATGCATGGCTTCCTGGCACTCACATGGTTAACCCTCCTCCCTCTGTGCTATCCAATGCATGACTTCCTGGCACTCACAGGGTTAACCTCCCCTCCCTTTGTGCTATCTGATGCATGAATTCCTGGCACTCACAGGGTTAACCCCCCTCCCTCTGTGCTACCCACTGCATGGCTTCCTGGCACTCACTGGGTTAACATTATATGATATGCTATGTGAATATATAAATCAAAGCACTATCACTTTAATTTAGCTATGACACCGTTTTAAATTGCGTTTATCACATACATTTTCCATGATATATACTTTTTTGCTTATTTAGCACTATTTAATGTGTCTCCCACGTTGGAGTTAGTGTAGGACACCCTGCTATTGGGTCTAAAGGAGCACTGTAGTGCCAGGAAAACAAACTCTTGTGGCCCCCCTCCCGCTGGGCTGAAGGGGTTAAATCCCCTTCAGCCACTTACCTTTATCCAGCTCCCTCGGCGCTGGTGACCTCTCCTCCCCCTGCCGAAGTCAGCTCCTAAATGGAGGCAAATGCGCATGCGCGGCCACAGCCACACATGCGCGTATTCAAACCTGCCCATAGGAAAGCATTACTCAATGCTTTCCTATGGGATCTGAACTCACGCTGCGTTAGTTAAATGCAATTTCTTTTACACTGAGAATCGCAGAAGCGGCCTTTAATGTCTGTCAGTGAGACAGCCACTAGAGGCTGGATTAACCCTGCAGTGTAAACACAGCCGTTTCTCTGCAACGGCTACGTTTTCAGCTGCAGGGTTAAAACTAGAGGGACCTGGCGCCCAGACCACTTAATTGAGCTGAAGTGGTCTGGGTTCCTATAGAAGTCCTTTAACACGATATGGCCGTATGGTGGAACTAAATCCCCTATTTGTTCACTGAGATAGGTGATTTTAAATAGCCGTGTAAAACTTAATGTGTTTTCATCCATAGGTTTCCTGGCACAGTTTTGGCTAAGCACTTCCTTGAAATGAATGGACCGTGATTGGACGTAAAATCGCTGCCGATATCTGTGAACTAGACATTTGCATTAAGTGAGGAACATTCCGAAGTGAATAACTACCTTTGTGATTGTGACTATATTTCACCCGAGTGAGATTGGATTGTGACTGTAGATTTCACTCGAGTGAGATTGGATTGTGACTGTAGATTTCACCCGAGTGAGATTGGATTGGGACTGTAGATTTCATCCTAGTGAGATTGGATTGTGACTGTAAATTTCACCCGAGTGAGATTGGATTGTGACTGTAAATTTCACCCGAGTGAGATTGGTTTGTGACTGTAAATTTCACCCGAGTGAGATTGGATTGGGACTGTAGATTTCATCCTAGTGAGATTGGATTGTGACTGTAAATTTCACCCGAGTGAGATTGGATTGTGACTGTAAATTTCACCCGAGTGAGATTGGATTGGGACTGTAGATTTCACCCGAGTGAGATTGGGACTGTAGATTTCATCCTAGTGAGATTGGATTGTGACTGTAAATTTCACCCGAGTGAGATTGGATTGGGACTGTAGATTTCATCCTAGTGAGATTGGATTGGGACTGTAGATTTCACCCGAGTGAGATTGGATTGGGACTGTAAATTTCACCCGAGTGAGATTGGATTGGGACTGTAGATTTCACCCGAGTGAGATTGGATTGTGACTGTAAATTTCACCCGAGTGAGATTGGATTGTGACTTTAGATTTCACCCGAGTGAGATTGGATTGTGACTGTAGATTTCATCCTAGTGAGATTGGATTGTGACTGTAGATTTCACCCGAGTGAGATTGGATTGTGACTGTAGATTTCACCCGAGTGAGATTGGATTGTGACTGTAAATTTCACCCGAGTGAGATTGGATTGGGACTGTAGATTTCACTCGAGTGAGATTGGATTGGGACTGTAGATTTCACCCGAGTGAGATTGGATTGGGACTGTAAATTTCACCCGAGTGAGATTGGATTGGGACTGTAAATTTCACCCGAGTGAGATTGGATTGGGACTGTAAATTTCACCCGAGTGAGATTGGATTGGGACTGTAAATTTCACCCGAGTGAGATTGGATTGGGACTGTAGATTTCATCCTAGTGAGATTGGATTGTGACTGTAAATTTCACCCGAGTGAGATTGGATTGGGACTGTAGATTTCACTCGAGTGAGATTGGATTGGGACTGTAGATTTCACCCGAGTGAGATTGGATTGGGACTGTAAATTTCACCCGAGTGAGATTGGATTGGGACTGTAAATTTCACCCGAGTGAGATTGGATTGTGACTGTAAATTTCACCCGAGTGAGATTGGATTGTGACTGTAAATTTCACCCGAGTGAGATTGGATTGTGACTGTAAATTTCACCCGAGTGAGATTGGATTGGGACTGTAGATTTCATCCTAGTGAGATTGGATTGGGACTGTAGATTTCACCCTAGTGAGATTGGATTGTGACTGTAAATTTCACCCGAGTGAGATTGGATTGGGACTGTAGATTTCACCCGAGTGAGATTGGATTGGGACTGTACATTTCACCCGAGTGAGATTGGATTGGGACTGTAGATTTCATCCTAGTGAGATTGGATTGGGACTGTAGATTTCACCCGAGTGAGATTGGATTGGGACTGTAAATTTCACCCGAGTGAGATTGGATTGGGACTGTAGATTTCACCCGAGTGAGATTGGATTGGGGCTGTAGATTTCACCCGAGTGAGATTGGATTATCATTATTCGAGCTGATCATACAGTGAATGCATGTTTTAGCCGTGTAGTTTGCGTGCTGAGCGCTGTTCTCTGTTCCTACAGGTTGGGACCCGGGGATCAGACATGGCTGCCTTCAGCCGCAGGGAGTTTTATGAGCAGCTGCTGGATGGCTGTGTGTTCCCGACGGTGCAGCAAGGAATCGAGCAGATCTGGGTGCTCCTGGCGATCTGCCTGGTATGCAGGGTGCTGTGGAGATTTGGTGAGCCATCATTTATTGATCGCTGGCAGGATTTTGCTACTTGGTATAGATTGATTTAGATGGGAGCAGTACTCATTTAGTGAGTTCCTTTACTTTTTTAAAACCCGCTGTGTGCTTTCGTTAGAGAGTGTTGATACTTCTTTTATTCCCCTCACAGCAGCATTGTATTTGACTAGGAGAACACTTTTAGTTCGTAATATTTAGGGTACTGTGTGTCTGTATTATTGGGGTGCTAGAGGGAATTCTGTCCTGGCTGCAATGGGAGCGCTCTGGATTTTTGGTTCTGATTTTCCATTGTTATTTTTTTTTTTTTTCCTTGTTCCATCACGTCTTCCACGCCATGTCTCTCTGTACCCCTGGGCATGTCCGCAGCCCTCCCTTCCCATTTCAAGCACCTGTTAACCTTGGCAGGCGGCTTCTTCTGTCTCTATCATTTCTTCCAGTTACAGATGATCTGGGTGGTCCTTCTCAGCCTGCTGTGTTATCTGGTGCTCTTCCTGTGCCGCCATTCCCAGCACCGGGGCGTCCTGCTGTCCGTTACTATCCTCATCTACCTTCTAATGGGGTAAGAACCCAAAATATACATCTTGAACCATCCTGACCCTCTGCCTGTATCAGAATATGTACACCCGGTACCGGTCTGACCCTCTGCCTGTATCAGAATATGTACAGCCGGTACCGGTCTGACCCTCTGCCTGTATCAGAATATGTACACCCGGTACCGGTCTGACCCTCTGCCTGTATCAGAATATGTACACCCAGTACCGGTCTGACCCTCTGCCTGTATCAGAATATGTACACCCAGTACCGGTCTGACCCTCTGCCTGTATCAGAATATGTACACCCGGTACCGGTCTGACCCTCTGCCTGTATCAGAATATGTACACCCGGTACCGGTCTGACCCTCTGCCTGTATCAGAATATGTACACCGGTGACTCTGCCTGTATCAGAATGCCTGTAAGAATATGTACGGTACGGTCTGACCCTCTGCCTGTATCAGAATATGTACACCCAGTACCGGTCTGACCCTCTGCCTGTATCAGAATATGTACACCCGGTACCGGTCTGACCCTCTGCCTGTATCAGAATATGTACACCCGGTACCGGTCTGACCCTCTGCCTGTATCAGAATATGTACACCCGGTACCGGTCTGACCCTCTGCCTGTATCAGAATATGTACACCCGGTACCGGTCTGACCCTCTGCCTGTATCAGAATATGTACACCCAGTACCAGTCTGACCCTCTGCCTGTATCAGAATATGTACACCCAGTACCAGTCTGACCCTCTGCCTGTATCAGAATATGTACACCCGGTACCGGTCTGACCCTCTGCCTGTATCAGAATATGTACACCCGGTACCGGTCTGACCCTCTGCCTGTATCAGAATATGTACACCCAGTACCGGTCTGACCCTCTGCCTGTATCAGAATATGTACACCCGGTACCGGTCTGACCCTCTGCCTGTATCAGGATATATACAGAATATGTTTTTTCTCATTCTCCATCACTGGCAATATTTAAGCGGTTTCTCCTGGCACTATATACCCGCAACCTGTGGTTTAATTAGTCTGTTTTGACCCACAGGGAGATGCACATGGTGGATACCGTCAGTTGGCACAAGATGAGAGGTTAGTATATTTACAATCTTTCCATGTGCTTACCCTATCGTCCTCGCTTTGTATATATGGTGTCTCTGTTTACCTCTCCCCGTCACTCATTATCCTGTAACACACATCATTTTAACTCACTATATACTCTCCAGGCCCTGTGCACTCTCTTCTGGCCTTTCTCTGTCTATCTTCCCCTTTCTGGGCTGTCTAGACCTGTCTGTTCACGCTCTCCTGGGCTGTCTCTCTTCCATTTCCTGGGCTGTCTCTCTTCCCTTTCCTGGGCTGTCTAGACCTGTCTGTGCACGCTCACCTGAGCTGTCTCCTTTCCCTTTCCTCGGCTGCCTAGACCTGTCTGTGCACGCTCACCCGGTCAACTCTCTCCTGCGCAGTCTCTGTCTATATTCACTTTCCTCAGCTGTCTGTGCACTCTCTCCTTGGCTGTCTGTCTATTTTCCCTTCACTGGGCTGTCTCAGTGTGTATGTGCTCTCTCTCCTGGGCTGTCTGTTTTTTTTTGTTTGTTTTTTTCCTTTCCTGGGCTGTCTCTCTGTGTCCATGCACTGCACTCTCTCCTTGGCTGTCTCGGTCTTTCTGTGCATTCTTTTCTGGGTTATCTTCCTATTTTCCCTTTACTGGGCTATATCGCTCAGTCTGTGAACTCTTGTCTCTTTGGCTGTCTAGCTCTGTCTGTTTTCTTTCTCTCTCTCTCTCTCTTTGTCTTTGTCTTTGTCTTTGTCTTTGTCTTTGTCTTTGTCTTTGTCTTTGTCTTTGTCTTGGTGTGTCTGTGCACTCTCTCCTGGGTTGTCTCGGTGTGTCTGTGCACTCTCTCCTAGGTTGTCTCTCTCTTTAATTAGTTCATAATACTCTCTCGGTCTGTAAGGTGTCTGTACACTCTGTCCTGGGCTGTCTCGCTCTGTAATTAGTTAATACTCTCTCTCTTGGTCTGTAAGGTGTGTCTGTGCACTCTCTCCTGGGCTGTCTCACTCTGTAATTAGTTAATACTCTCTCTTGGTCTGTCTGTGCACTCTGTCCTGGGCTGTCTCGCTCTGTAATTAGTTAATACTCTCTCTTGGTCTGTCTGTGCACTCTGTCCTGGGCTGTCTCGCTCTGTAATTAGTTCATACTCTCTCTCTTGGTCTGTAAGGTGTGTCTGTGCACTCTGTCCTGGGCTGTCTCGCTCTGTAATTAGTTCATACTCTCTCTCTTGGTCTGTAAGGTGTGTCTGTGCACTCTCTCCTGGGCTGTCTCGCTCTGTAATTAGTTCATACTCTCTCTCTCGGTCTGTAAGGTGTGTCTGTGCTCTCTGTCCTGGGCTGTCTCGCTCTGTAATTAGTTAATACTCTCTCTCTCGGTCTGTAAGGTGTGTCTGTGCACTCTCTCCTGGGCTGTCTCGCTCTGTAATTAGTTCATACTCTCTCTCTTGGTCTGTAAGGTGTGTCTGTGCACTCTCTCCTGGGCTGTCTCGCTCTGTAATTAGTTCATACTCTCTCTCTTGGTCTGTAAGGTGTGTCTGTGCACTCTCTCCTGGGCTGTCTTGCTCTGTAGTTAGTTCATACTCTCTCTCTTGGTCTGTAAGGTGTGTCTGTGCACTCTCTCCTGGGCTGTCTCGCTCTGTAATTAGTTCATACTCTCTCTCTTGGTCTGTAAGGTGCGTCTGTGCACTCTCTCCTGGGCTGTCTCGCTCTGTAATTAGTTCATACTCTCTCTCTTGGTCTGTAAGGTGTGTCTGTGCACTCTCCTGGGCTGTCTCGCTCTGTAATTAGTTAATACTCTCTCTCGGTCTGTAAGGGTGCCCAGATGATTGTGCAGAAGCCGTGTCTTTTGGGGTTCGATGTGACCCGGTGTTGTTAATCTATCCATCTCCGTGGAGTTCATGGTTCACGTTTATTTTGTGGGCACCGTCATATTTGGTCCATGGATAAGTTTTACCAGTTACTCTCAGGCGGTGGGACAGCGTCCTGGTGAGTTTTGTGGGGTTTTTTTTTTGCAATTAAGATTTTTATTGTAGAGAAGCTGTCCAAATAGATAAACATTAAAGGAACACTTCTCATACCAAGTAAAACATACACTGTTTATTAGACACCCCAAATGAAAACGTACATTTATTTATTCATTTATAAAATATTTTACCAGGAAAGATACATTGAGATTGCATTTAAATTATGTGTTTCTCTTTCTGTGTATATCTAAAAGCAGCTTGAAAAAGCTGCAGATGTCATCTCTGCAGCCTTTTCAATTCCTCCCCTTCTAACCCGACTCAGACTTTCTGTGTCTGTCCAATCACAGACTTTCCAATGCAGCTCAATGAGAAGTCTTTGTAAGGCAGGCAGGGACGATCCTACGCGGGTTCCTGATGTTCACAGTGCCCAGGCGCTCAGCAGAAAGAGGTGCATTGCGGCACTAGACCCTGCCCCCTTGCTTTAGGCTCCCCCCTCATGCTCGGCTCCACCACTTGTATTAGGCTCAACCCATCACACTCGGTGCCTGGGATCAGGAATCCCCACTCCCTGGCCCAAAGTAAGCCTTAGTGTTTTTTTTTTTCCTTCAGCCCTTAATCCCCTACTACTGCCCCAAGCCACCTACCTAAGCCCTTAACCTCCCACTCCTGCCCCCTAACTCCTCAATTACAGTCCCTATCCCCTCAATACTGTCCCAAGCCACCTACTACAGCCCCTAACTCCTCAATTACAGCCCATATACCCCCACTATTGCCCCAAGCAATAAGTGTTTACTACAACCCCTAACCTTCCACTAATGCCCCAAGCCACCTACTACAGCCCCTAACTCCTCAATTACAGCCACTGTGTCTCCTCCCGACTACAGCCCACATCCTGTGCCCCTCCCAATATTAGGCACTTATAAGCTATTTGGACACAAAGCTGGCATTGTAGGAAGTGAGTGGCATGTGACCTGGTGAAGTTGAGGGGAAGGCGTTAACAATATAGACATGCCCACCTGGGAGCGCCAAAAATAATATTGCACCCACGTGCCAGTGACTCTAAGATTGGCCCTGAAGGCAGGTGTCCTCTGGGCAATTGCTGCCTCTGGTTTATCTCCACTGAGATAACCAAACCAGGAAGTAACAGGACCGACGGTATGATTGACAGCCATGGGGGTGTAACAAGGTTCATTTATAAAGGGAAATATATATAGTGACAATCACAATCTCCAAATACAAAGAACTTCCCTTGAGCATGAGATCTACCCAGAAGATCTCTAATGCAAGTATTCCAAAATATGAGGGTAGTTCTGCTAAGGAAAACCAAAAAGGCACAACACTTTATATAAATGCCACTTTGAAAATCATGTTCCAATTGCCACTCACTCTTTATAAGATAAATGAAGTCCAGGCAGTCAGGTTTGCTGCAGGAATGCAGGTTTATTGGAACAAAATGTTTCGGCCTACACAGAGGCCTTTATCAAGCTAATATATCCATAGCTTAATAAAGGCCTCTGTGTAAATAAACCTGCCTTCCTGCAGCAATCCTGAGTGCCTGGACCTCATTTATTTTACCTACTAAACTGGGTTTTGCTAACTTTATTTTACTTGTTTTTCTTTTTAAGTGTAAACAGTATAATATTCAGCTCTAAACATTTTCATGAGAAATAATGAGGCGGATTAACTGGGGGGAAAGGATAGTTTAGGGGGGAGAAGAGAAAAGATGAGTGAGGAACATGGAGAGAGAGTTAGAGAAAAATAGGAAAAGCGCCCCAAAGGAACAGGAAAGAATGAGGAACCCTCTCCTCCAGATTACCGCAATCAAAGGACCCCAGATATTACAGAATTGGGCCGAAGTGCCCTGTGTATAGACCATTATTTTATCCATTCTCACAATGTATTTAACTTTGTGCGAGATCTCAGAAGGAGTAAGACCTTCCAGTGTTTGGCAGTTCACAATCTAGTCACTGTGCATATGTAAAAAATCAGTTTACTGCCTGTAAGGAATAGGTCTCTAAGAGGGTAGAGGTGATGAACAAAGGCTGACCAAGGATTAGGCTCCAAATTCTCTCAGGGCCACACCAATCTCGTCAGATATCTCCAAAGTCTAACAACCAGTGGACAGGCAGGGTCTGCTGAGTTTTGATTGCGATTGAGAGGGAGATTGATAGCACCCTGCATCCATCCTATGCTCGTGTTACTCGGCACCTGCCCTGGGTCCTCCCTGTGCTCGTTTTACCCGGCAGCTCGCCCTGGGTCCACCCTGTGCTCTTTTTACCCGGCAGCTCGCCCTGGGTCCACCCTGTGCTCGTTTTACCCGGCAGCTCTGCCTGGGTCCACCCTGTGCCCGGTTTACCCGGAAGCTCTGCCTGGGTCCACCCTGTGCCCGGTTTACCCGGCAGCTCAGCCTGGGTCCACCCTGTACCCGGCAGCTCGGCCTTGGTCCACCCTGTGCCCGTTTTACCCGGCAGCTCGGCCTTGGTCCACCCTGTGCCCGGTTTACCCGGCAGCTCGGCCTGGGTCCACCCTGTGCCCGGTTTACCCGGCAGCTCGGCCTGGGTCCACCCTGTGCCCGGTTTACCCGGCAGCTCGGCCTGGGTCCACCCTGTGCCCGTTTTACCCGGCAGCTCGGCCTGGGTCCACCCTGTGCCCGGTTTACCCGGCAGCTCGCCCTGGGTCCACCCTGTGCTCGGTTTACCCGGCAGCTCGCCCTGGGTCCACCCTGTGCTCGGTTTACCTGACAATTCAAAAACACTAGTTTAGGTGCCCCCTCTCTTGCCATGCACTGTGGTTTATGTAAGTTTGATTCAAGAAAGAAAACGCTGATGTTTGTGGTGGTGGGTGCCATCTGTGGTTAGAACTTTTATATGTGTTTTGTTTTTCATTTGTTTTTGTCTGTTCATTTAGAGCCCACTAGACTCCCCATCCTATATATGTCTATGTGATGCCTCTTCCTTTTTTCAAACAGAGTCTCTGCTGGTCCTGGAGAGTGTGCCGCAGTCTGCTGTTGTGTCTCGTTTGCCTTCTGATATCTACCTGCGTCTCTCCCTACCTTTTCCCGTACTTCATCCCATTGTATGGGGAGCGGCTGCTCAGAAAGTGAGTTATTCCTCGGCAAAATACTATTTAAAATTTTTCCTTTTGCCTTCCTTTCCACCTTTATCATTGTTACATAGGCTGAAAAGAGACATGTGTCCATCAAGTTCAGCCTTCCTCACTTTTGGTTTTTGCTGTTGGTCCAAAAAATCCAGTCCAGCGCGTTCAATTTTGCAACAAACTAGGAAAATAATCCCCTCTTGACCCCAGAATGGCAGTCAGATTTATCCTTGGATCAAGAAGCATTTACCCTACATTGAAAGATTACATAATTGAATATTCTGTTTTTGCAAATATGCATCTAGTAGCTGTTTGAACATCTGTACGGACTCTGACGTTTTTATTTAAATGTCAGCCATCACCCTATGTTCACAAACCAAAGTTATGCCAAAACGTCGCACTTCACAACGGGTTGGAAACAGACATTGCAAAATACTCTCCTGAATAGCTTCCATGTTAAGCTTGCTCCCCGCCTGTGTGTCTCTCCCCGCGCCCCGCCTGTGTGTCTCTCCCCGCGCCCCGCCTGTGTGTCTCTCCCCGCGCCCCGCCTGTGTGTCTCTCCCCGCGCCCTGCCTGTGTGTCTCTCCCCGCGCCCCGCCTGTGTGTGTCTCCCATCCTTTCCTTCAGATCGTTTTGTTGTTTTTCAGTGACAATGTCTCCTCTTTTTCCCTTTTCTTTCTTTGCTCTCCTGACCACTCCAGTAAGAAGCACAAAGCGAGGTACCTGCCTTACTGTATACTGTCTGTCTCTCTAAAACATCTCACACCATCAGCGCTGTATTTTTAACAAGGCATTTGCCTTGGGCGGCACTTTCAGGGGGACGGCAAAAAACACCGCCCCCCCCAAGCGCCCTGGCATGTGCCCTGTTAGCCTCTCTTGTGGGGGAGCCAAGAGCTGGACGGCTGGCCACCTCAGGGCCCCCCCAAGAGGCGTTCAAGCTTCTCACAATGTGGGCGGTGAGGGAGCACTGTCATCTGCGTGCTTCGCAGTTATGACGGGAGCCAGAATATAACATCATATTCCGGCTCCCGGCACAGCTGCAAGGCGCATGAGGGAGCTGAGCAGGAAGAGCTCAGATGACCGTGCTCTCTCGCCGCCCGCAGTGGCTGATTGACCACCGGCCGGCCCGTTTACCTGTGCCTGTCTGCCACCTGTGCCTTAATGCCTGCCCAGCAGCAGGAGCCAGCCCCAGGGAAGAATCCACTCCAGCTCTCCCAAAGGTAGGCTGGGTGGATGTAAATGAAAATTAAATTACATATAAATTGGCGTGTTAAACAATGTGTTTGAGTTTGTAAGTATCTGGGTATCTGTCAGTGTGTCTGAGAGTGAATGTGTGTGTGTCTGTGAGAGTGTGTCTGTTAGTGAGTGTGTGTCTTTCAGTGTATGAGTGTTTGTGTGTGTCTGTTAGTTAAACTGTGTGTTGGTCTTAAACAGGAAAAGAGGCTGCCTGGGCAGGAAAGGGCAGAGCAAATTTAGATTGGGTGGGGGTGGTGGGTGTGGGTGGGGGGGGGTGGGGGGTGCCCAAGTTTACTCATGCCTAGGGCAGCACAAATTCAAAATACACCATTCTCTCTTTTTCGGACTTGTTCTAGGGATATCTATCTGTCAGTCTCTCTCTTTAAACGCTCTATTTCCATAATTACTGTCTGTCTTGCTTATACTCAACAGACTGCAAAAAAGAGACGATATGTGGGGATTAGAAACATGAATTTCTGCATCTGGCTCTTGCTCTCTGACTGTCTCTCTTTCTCAGACATTGTGTTTAACTGTCTATTTTATTCCTTGATATTTCCCTCACTGTCTCCTTTGCTTGTCTCGCCCTGCGGCAGAGGACCCGTAGTCTGGTGAGTGCTTGCGGTGCGCTATGGAGGAGGGGGTAATGGTAACTGGATGTTAATGTGTGAATTCTTGGAATTTTAAATTCTAGAACAAAATGGCTGAATTTAAATATTCTCCAGCTTGCCTCTCAGTCCAGCTGTTTTTGGACTTTATTACAATTGTCATGCTAGTTAAAAACCCTGTGTGTTGTGAAAATGTCATTTTGTGCCCCAGTTGTGTGTTTCGGCCCGTGGGAGGATCACAGGTTTCTTGCACACGGGGTCCGGCCCTTTGACTTTCTTACAAATCGTAGCAAGCAATGTTTCTGCTCTAAAGTTGCATGCCTTTCAATTCTTGAGACAGGCTTAGTTGCTGAATGGAGATTTGGTGATATCGCTGTGTGTGTGTGTGTGTGTATATTTTTAGGTGCATGGGAAACAAAAGACTTCTTTCCAGACAGCTTGTAATCCAGCCAAGCATTAGAGTGAATGAGGACTGGATTTCACATTGTGCAGACTGGACATGCCCCAGTAGTCTGGATACCAGTCCATTATTATTATTGATAATCAGCGTTTAGTGCAATATAATTATAAGGTGATTAACTGTGGACACTAGAGCCATATGTTTAATGCAGACTGGTTTTATTTATACATTTTATTAACAGTTAATTTTCCTTCATTTGAAAAACTGAATATTCGAGCTAAGCAGAGAATTATGCAGCAGTTATTTATTGAATTACCATTAGTGTGCATTATTATAAATACTCTGCTTTGCTCTCTCGCCCTGCAGGTGGCTCCGAGCCTATGAGAACGCCTCGTCTTTCCATTTCAGCAATTATTTTGTGGGATTTTTATCCGAAGTTACTGCTGTTTTATCCGGAGCCGGATATTCAGAGGAAAAGGATCATGTTGCGTGGTAGGGATGGGGAGTGTGAGTGGTAGGGGAGTGGTGGGGATGGGGAGTGTGAGTGGCAGGGATGGGTTGTAGAGGAGTGGCAGGGATGGGGAGTGTGAGTGGTAGGGAAGGCGAGTGGCGGGGATGGGTGGTAGAGGAGTGGTAGGAATGGGGAGTGGTGGGGATGGGTGGTAGGGGAGTGGTAGGGATGGGGAGTGTGAGTGGTAGGGAAGGGGAGTGGCGGGAAGGGGAGTGTGAGTGGTAGAGGAGTGGTTGGGATGGGGAGTGTGAGTGGTAGGGAAGGGGAGTGGCGGGATGGGAGGCAGGGAGTGGTAGGGATGGGGTGTGTGTGGAGTGGTAGGGGAGGATGGATGGGAGCAAGGGAGTGGTAGGGAGCTGGCGGGATGGGAGTGGAGCAGGTTAGCATGAGTGATAGGGGAGCATGGAATGGGGTGTGTGTGGAGTGGTAGGGGGAGGGATGGAAGGGAGTGGTGGGATGGGGTGCGTGGAGTGGTAGGGGATGGGCGGGATGGGAAATAGGAGTGTGAGTGGTAGGGAAGGGGAGTGGCGGAAATGGGGAGTGTGAGTGGTAGGTTAGTATGAGTGATAGGGGAGTGTTGGGAATGGGGTGTGTGAGTGGTAGGTTAGTATGAGTGATAGGGGAGTGTCGGGAATGGGGTGTGTGAGTGGTAGGGGAGTGGCCGGGATGGGGAGTGTAAGCTGTAAGGGAGTAGCGGGGATGGGGAATGGCAAGGATAGGGAGTGCGTGTGGTGGTGAGTAGTAGGGATAGGGAGTGTGAGGAGCGAGTATAATGAGTGCGACTGGCAGAGTGAGGGAGTGCGAGGGGGAATGTGGAGCGGTAAAATATATAATGAAACCTCACTGAGGAAGACTCACATCCAATCCATGGTGTCAATGTAACTTCCCATTTAAAGTCATAGTGTATTACAGCAACATTTAACCATGATAAACCGTGACCAGACATGGATTTAACAATCTGTCTGAATAAGCCACTGCTTAGATACACAGTGCTGATATCAGAGATTCCACCAACGCGCAATCAGTTATACTGTTATATTAGCAGACACCCTCCCCGATCGTACAAAACAGCCGCTCACATGGGGGGGCTGACAGACCACCGTCATGGAGTACAATGCCCACATGTGCCTCCCTTGTTCAAAAATCATGTTTGGACTAATTAGAAGATTGTGCTTGTCCCTTTCTGAATGTAATAGAATTGAGACTTGGGTAAGTGTTAGTGTCTCGTTGGGATAGGATACTGGAACTGCTCTATAATACAGAGTGCTGCTATAATACCGTGTGGTATATAGTGTTACAGTATGCAATAATACAGTGTGATATATAGTGATACACAGTGCTATAATACAGTGTGATCCAGTATGCTATAATACAGTGTGATATTTCGTTTTACAGTATGCTATAATACAATGTGATATATATAGTGATACACAGTGCTATAATACAGTGTGATCCAGTATGCTATAATACAGTGTGATATTTAGTTTTACAGTATGCTATAATACAATGTGATATATATAGTGATACACAGTGCTATAATACAGTGTGCTATATAGTTACAGTATGCTATAATACAGTGTGGTATATAGTGATACACAGTGCTATAATACAGTGTGGTATATAGTGTTACAGTATGCTATAATACCGTGCGATCCAGTATGCTATATTACAGCCCGCTAGTTTACATTGGAGCTGGACAGCCAGGCATCTCAAGTGTAGAATATCACACGTTGCAGAGCCTTTGATTAATCAAAGGATCAATCCATGTTGTAAACTGTCTTCACATTTAAATTGGCCACTTTTGAAAATTTATTTTTGGAGTGTCTCAGAATATTGTATATTTTTCTGTAGAGGATCCTGAGATTGAAACCCCTGTTGTCTTGTATTGTAAACCCCATGTGGAGTACTGGGCATAAAAGCAGTGTGTGGTCCAATAAACCTCAGTTGAGTTAAATGGTACTCCCAGATCTGTGTGTCGTCCGGTTACTGGGGAAAAGGGATGCCTGCTTGTTTTAAGGCTTCCAGAGTGGCTGAGGGAAGGAATTAGCAGGGGTAACTGGATGGGTTACCAGGGGTCCGCTACATGGGGGAAAACTCTGGTTTTCATTATACGTAGGTGAGGCGCACGGCACCGCTTCTGAGCAGATTAAGGCAGGCACCTGATGGTTTCAATAAATGTTTATTTAGGTTAGGGATGGAGAGGGCCATGAAGGGCCAGAGCAAGTTAAAGCAGCATACACTGCCTGCTGCCATGTGTAGTCTTGGGAATCAGAGCTGGGGGCATGGCCGATTTCTAATCCTATCAAGGCAGGCATCTGATGATGGCATGGGAGGGTGCAGGGCACATGATGTCAAAGCAGTGCCTGCTGCTATTCTGAGGACCTGGAACGCCATGCTCAAGGCAGCAAGTATCTGACAGGAGGTATCCGGATATTAATGCAGAGCCTGCCGCCATTCTTGGACCGGGAACACCAGGCTTGGCACAAACAATTCAGCAAGTATTCAGATATTACCGCAGTGCCTGCCGCCATTCTGGTGACCCTGAAAGCCAGGCTCAGGACAAACAAGGAGGCAAGTATCTGCAAATTACAGCAGTGCCTGCCGCCATTCTGTGACTCGTAACGCCAGGTTTAGGACAAACAATGCAGTGAGTATCCGGATATTACCGCAGAGCCTGCCGCCTTTCTTTGACTCGTAATGCCAGGCTCTGGACAAACAAGGCAGCAAGTATTCAGATATTACCGCAGTGCCTGCCGCCATTCTGGTATCAAGAATGCCAGGCTTGGGACAAACAAGGCAGCAAGTATTCAGATATTACCACAGTGCCTGCCGCCATTCTGGTACCAAGAATGCCAGGCTCGGGACAAACAATTCAGCAAGTATTCAGATATTACCGCAGTGCCTGCCGCCATTTTGGTGACCCTGAATGCCAGGCTCGGGACAAACAAGGCAACAAGTATCTGGAAATTAAAGCAGTGCCTGCCGTCATTCTGGGGACCCGGAACGCCAGGCTCTGGACAATCAAGGCAGCAGGTATCTGGTTATAACCTCAGTGCCTGCCACCATTCTGGGGACCTAGAACACCAGGCTCTGGACAATCAAGGCAGCAAGTAGTCAGATATTACCGCAGAGCCTGCTGCCATTCTGGTGACCCGGAAAGCCAGGCTCAGGACTGTGGCAAACCTACCCACTTCAGATTATGTTATTCTATGTCTACAGGTTGTCCTAGTTAGTTTATGTATTCGTCAATACCTGTAATAAAGAGTATGTGTATGCTAACAGCCAAAAGCCACTAGCATTCATATGGTAGTTTCACGAACAGTGACTTTCCATGCTGTTCGTGAAATGAACAAAGTACTGAATGGGAGCCCACACACAGGGGTTCGTGTGGCTCCCATTACCCCGGTTGCAACATTGTATCAATTTGGCTGCTAATTGATTTCCCGGGTGGCCGTCGTTTGGCTACCGACCACGCGGCGGCAGCCATCTTGGATTTCCTTTTAGCCCAGCGGTGTTTGGTCATCGAGTTCCTGGAACTAAAATCGGCTACTCGACGGCGCGAACACCGCTGGACTTCCAGGCCATTCGGGAGCGCCGGTCTTTCGGTACTTTCTTCCAACATATGTATTCGTGACTTTCTGAAAAGTTGGTGGCAAAATGTATTTCATGCGACGTTCGGTTATTTATGCTGGGATCTGAGCGGTACTTTCTCAAAGTGTGCGCTCAGACCCCAGCTATCTGCCGAATGGTCATTCGGTACAATGGCACGAATAAAGTATGAGTTACATATTTTTGTGTGAAAGGCCGGTTCTACTGTACAGAGGGATAATTCACTTAACAAGAGATTTTCTTGTGGGAGTATCCCTCCCGTACAGCAGTGCATGATGGGGGAAATGTCCTGCATGTTCAGTTCCCCATGTAGTCCCCTACTGTACAACCCCTGTAAAGTAACTAAGGAAACCCCTTGCATGGGGAATCACATAAATACTGGAGCTTGTGAATAAAATCATCAGTTGACTCCCAGAACTGTGTTTCGTCCGGTGACTGGGGGATTTGGGATATTGCCTTCATTTTCAGCGCTTTACTTGGATTACTTTCTGTAACAGCGGAGATATTGGGATTAAATATTGCAGCTCCGCTACAAGGACAAACAAGGCAGCAAGTATCTGGATATTACTGCAGTGCCTACTGCCATTCTGGGAACCCGGAAAGCCAGGCTCAGGACAAACAAGGCAGCAAGTATCTGGATATAACCGCAGTGCCTACTGCCATTCTGGGAACCCGGAAAGCCAGGCTCAGGACAAACAAGGCAGCAAGTATCTGGATATAACCGCAGTGCCTACTGCCATTCTGGGAACCCGGAAAGCCAGGCCCAGGACAAACAAGGCAGCAAGTATCTGGATATAACCGCAGTGCCTACTGCCATTCTGGGAACCCGGAAAGCCAGGCTCAGGACAAACAAGGCAGCAAGTATCTGGATATAACCGCAGTGCCTACTGCCAATCTGGGAACCCGGAAAGCCAGGCTCAGGACAAACAAGGCAGCAAGTATCTGGATATAACCGCAGTGCCTACTGCCATTCTGGGAACCCGGAAAGCCAGGCTCAGGACAAACAAGGCAGCAAGTATCTGGATATAACCGCAGTGCCTGCCACCAATTCTGGGGATCTGGAAAGCCAGGCTCAGGATAAATAAGGCAGCAAAAATTGGAACACTTAAAAACACTTTAAAAAGAATTGGAATACTTAAAAACCTGCCATGCTTAATTTATGCTCTGAGGTGCTGTGAGATAAACAACACGAGGGGGGTGGGAGACAAATGTCACAGTAACATCATTAACGTGAAAGTAACAACCTGTATTTTTCTAACACAAACTAGTCCCTCTGTAAAAATATTAAATGTCTTCCTCATATCAGTAAATTATTTTTAGTCAGTAAAAACTGGTGGGCACAGCCTTTATGGACTAGGCCCCATTGGTAACTTCCATCTATCCGATATACATTATAACAAAATAAAAGCTAACTATTGGAATGGGTAGAATGTAGTTATCTGGTATGGAACGCTGTAATGGGGAGAGGTTTCCTTTAAATGTTTACACGTTTTTGGTTTTAGTGAGTGGTTAGAGTGTGAGGACGTAGGGTGTAAGTGGAAAGTGGTTGGGGTCTCAATGTGCCATTTACTGATCTGTCACTATCTCCAAGGGATCTGATGGTGTCTCGGCCTCTAAATGTGGAGATTCCTCGCTCTATGGTGGAAGTCGTGACATCTTGGAACCTGCCCATGTCTCGCTGGTTGCACTCATGTAAGAAACTGCTGCTTGGCCCCAGAAGTCCTGTATTCACCATGGCACATACCACGGCCATCTATACAACCCAGTTCCCAGCATTCCATGCTCTAATTTCTGCCTTTTCTTGTTTCCTTCCAGATGTGTTTAAGAATGCTCTGCGTCTCGGAATGTTCCACGCAATTATCGTTACATACGCTGCCAGCGCTCTGCTTCATGTGAGTGATTCTATATTGAATATACACTGGTGCTCTCTGAGGGTGGGTGGCCATGCCTTCCCAGTGGTGCTGTCTGAGGGTGGGTGGCCATGCCTTCCCAATGGTGCTATCTGAGGGTGGGTGGCCATGCCTTCCCAATGGTGCTATCTGAGGGTGGGTGGACTTGCCTTCCCAATGGTGCTATCTGAGGGTGGGTGGCCATGCCTTGTCATTGGTGGTGTCTAAGTGGTACAGCCAAGTCTTCCTGGGGGTGGAGGATCACTTACAGTTATTAAGGGTATCATGCAGGCTGAACCTTGTGGGAGGATCCATCTATTTATAATCACGTTCTGTGTTTTCAGGGTTTCAGTTTTCACCTTGCTGCCGTTCTCCTGTCCCTGGGATTCATAACATACGTGGAGCATGGTAATCTGGGTCAAGGTGTCCGAACACCATTGGTTGAAAGTGATGGGGTTTGGTGTCAGTTACTTTATAAATCCAATGATTGTATACAATGTCGCTGGAAGTTGAACGGACTGAGAACAGACAGTAAAATTAGAGACTCACATTCCCACCAGTTTTAATCCGCACCAAACCAATCCGTCACTCACCATTCACCTCCCAGCAATGCATCACTCACCATACACAATCTGTCCCCTATTATTCACCGCCACCACACAGCAATCTGTCCCCTATCATTCACCGCCACCACACAGCAATCTGTCCCCTATCATTCACCGCCACCACACAGCAATCTGTCCCCTATCATTCACCGCCACCACACAGCAATCTGTCCCCTATCATTCACCGCCACCACACAGCAATCCGTCACCTATCATTCACCGCCACCACACAGCAATCCGTCGCCTATCATTCGTCACTTACCATTAACCACCCAGCAATCCATCACCTTCCATTCACCACCCAGCAATCCATCACCTACCATTCACCTCCCAGCAATATGTCGCCTACCATTCACCGCCACCTCCCAGCAATCTGCCACCTACCATTCCCTTGCATCACCCAGCAATCCATCACCTACCATTCACCTTCACGACCTTTCAATCCGTCGCCTACCATTCACCGCCACCTCCCAGCAATATGTCGCCTACCATTCACCGCCACCTCCCAGCAATATGTCACCTACCATTCACCGCCACCTCCCAGCAATATGTCACCTGCCATTCACCGCCACCTCCCAGCAATATGTCGCCTACCATTCACCGCCACCTCCCAGCAATATGTCACCTACCATTCACCGCCACCTCCCAGCAATATGTCACCTACCATTCACCGCCACCACCCAGCAATCCGTCACCTCCACCTCCCAGCAAAATGTCACCTACTATTCTCCACCACCACCCAGCAATCTGTCGCTCACCTTTGCCTGTGTCTTTTAGTGCTACGTAAGAGATTGTCTGAAATATTCAGCGCCTGTATCCTGTCGAAGAAATGTCCCACCAACTGTACGCACCGAAACAAAAAGGTGAATATTAGTCACCTCCATGCCCCAAAACGAACCACTTCTCCACAGCCCTGTCCACCCCAACTAACCTGTAATGCTGCTGCCTCCCCTCCCCCTAACATTCTGCTCACTTCACGTTTCCTGATTTAATTAGTCTCTTTTACCATGACTGTCCCTAATTCTTATGTCTTTGTCTCTCTGCAGAGCCCCCTAGTGTATTTGACAAATCTCCTGTTTGGAGTCCTAGCCATTGTTCACCTCACTTACCTGGGCTCTCTCTTCGATTCGGAGACAGACGATGCTGTTGAGGAGGAGGTAAGTCCTTCCAACCTCTCCCGGATCACCCATTTCCAGTATCCACTCAATCGGCTTATATCTGGTCTGTGTGGAAATGTAGTCAAGGTTTCTGCTAAATCTCTCTCTATAACCAAAATAAGCAGATGTTTGGTATATTTTAACAAAGGGAAGATTAATCATAAAAGCAAATCTCCAAACAGATCCAGCCTTTCTAAAATTCTACTTTGTCATATCCTGCATTATCCTGCAGGGGGCAGCACCGTGTATATCCTGTCCTTTGGGAGTTCTTTCTATTCTATCTGAATAATGTATCTGTACATTCTGGGATTTTCTTTTTTTCTCAATCCTTCTTCTCAAAGCTTTGTAAGTGTAGATTGACTTTCTAATTCTACAGAGGGGTTTATTCACTAAACAGCAAACATGTTGGTTATGGGCTTCATGTGACATATGTTGACTACCTACCGGTTGGAAACATTATATCTCTGTAAACCCAGCTTTCTCACTGTCTCTCCTGTAAATCTCTTTACCCCCATGGCTACAGGCTGTCTGTTACCCCCAGAGCTATGAGCTGCTTCTACCATTCAAACTGGTTCGCCCCCTTTCTCCCGATAGGCCAGCGCGAGTTAAAGGACTCAGCTAGCTGATTGGTCAAACTGGTTCGTCCCCTTTCTACCGATAGGCCAGCGTGAGTTAAAGGGATAAGTTTGGAACCCCTCCCATTCTTGAGCCCTGATTGGTCGCAAAATTTGAATCTACCGGCCTAAACCAAGTGATTCTGTGAATCTATTTTCGTGTATGTACAGAGCCTCAAGTCCAGACTTTATACAATGTTTTTTCGGGCTCTGTACATCCAATAGCTCCTCTATTTGCAGGGGTCATTTGTGTCGGGTTGTTTTATGTCTTTGCTATGTTTTTGGGTATTTTTATGCTTTATGTTCGTTATGCTCAGTCGTGCTGTGGGAGTGTTCCAGGGTGGGTTTGACTGTGTCCAGGCTTTGTATAAATTGGCTGTACCATCTCCCATTAAAATATTCCTGTTGTACCCTTCATCAAGTCTCGGCTGATGTTTGGGTAGCTAAGAGCTCTGATCACTGTTTCACTTGGGATTTGGGAGATTTACAACGAATATACTCAGCCGGAGTATAGGGGATACGTTGTGTAACGGATCACCTGGCACCCCGACTGGGCACCTCCATTGAAGGATGCTCCTAGCGCTTCCTGAGGACTCCAAGCACTGCAGCAGACACCATAACCACCATAGACTCCTCAAGAGAGCAAGGCAGGAACAAGCTCTTACAAGAGCTTAGTAGTGATTTAGCAAGGGAGTATGACAAGCATAGCAATCCCTTGTAGCAGATTTCCCCCCAATAAGAGACGGCCCTCCAAACTGATGGTGAAGTAGAACTATCTAAAACTTTATTTTACTTGGGACTAGCCCATATGGTCATTACATTAACATTGCTGTGAAAACTCAATAAAATTACAAACCGTCAAATCATAGCAGGCAACATACAGTGACTTATTATAACATAATTACATATTTATAAATGGGTGGGGAAGACCATGATTAACACAAAATGTCTCTCCTGCATGCAGAATTAGCGATATGCAAATCTACCCGAATACGCAAATTATCAGTCTTGCTATTCAGGTAGTGCATATTACTGTTGCTACCAACAGAGGGCATTACACAAGCTCCATAGCCAAATCCACCTAGTTGGTAGCAATCCTCAGCAGTACAGGAGAGCAAGCAATACATCCCAGGGGCCATAGTCACATGGCAGGAGGCTGGCAATCAGTCTTCTCCAATTCCCAGTGGCGAGGCTGGTTCCGCCACACGTTGCATGGTTTATTTCCCTTTACAATCCAGGGATACGGGCTGTCTACTCTAATTGTGTTGTACTCCTTGGGCTACAGGTCATCTCGCCTCTAAATCTCCTTCTCTTTACTTCCAGGGCTATGGGATGTCTTACACTATACACAAGTGGTCGGAGCTCAGCTGGACTGGACATTGGCTAACGTTTGGATGCTGGGTGTTCTACCGTCTAATCATCTGATGGTGCAGCAAGCCCTTTGTGTGAGCATCCAACCAACTCTGCCACCAGAGCCAGCCCTACAACGGGCACAAATTGTACCACATGCCAACTCCCAGTTTTATCTGTACTCTCCAAGTGACCCGGTTCCTGTTTGGCAAAGAACATGTTTTGAAGACAAAGAATAAAACCACAAAGTATTAATTTATAATAAGCTGAACTCACCGCTCCTGCCTGTAATACTAGATGGAGCTGAGTGTTAGATTTGAGATTTGTGCCCAAAGAGCTGCGTTCAGGATGTGCTCTCTCCTTGGTTCAGCAATCCATGGCAGTTTGCTGATGGTACTAAGTGGACACAACTCCAGGTATTAGAGGCAGGAGTAGAAGAGTTTGTCTCAGAATATGTTACATGATGTACCGAGTGTTTTCTTAATAAAAATCCATTTGTCTTTCTGTGGAATGCCCTGGTGGGAGGATATCTCAGGTTGTTGCTTGGGGGATCATAGGGCATGAGAGGAGGTTATGGGGGGGGGGTTAATGGACGTTCTATCTGTGCTACAGTGGGGGTTTCAGATGGCCTCATGAAATGTGCTGGTATCAGTGTGTGATACAGGTGGACTCCTAAAAGGAGCAGGTATCCTTGTGTGATGCAGGTGGACTCATGAAATGAGCAGGTATCTGTGTGTGTGTGTGTGTGTGTGTGTTGCTGGTCGACTTATACAATAAGCAGGTATCTGTGTGTGATGCAGGTGGACTCATGAAATGAGCAAGTACCTGTGTGTGTTTCAGGTGGACTCATGAAATGAGCAGGTATCCTTGTGTGATGCAGGTGGACACATGAAATGAGCAGGTATCTGTGTGTGTTGCAGGTAGACTCATACAACGAGCAGGTATCTGTGTGTTGCAGGTGGACTCATGAAATGAGCAGGTGCCTGTGTGTGATGCAGGTATCTGTGTGTGATGCAGGTGGACTCATGAAATGAGCAGGTATCTGTGTGTGTTGCAGGTGGACTCATACAACAAGCAGGTATCTGTGTGTGATGCAGGTGGACTCATGCAACGAGCAGGTGCCTGTGTGTTTTGCAGGTGGACTCATACAATGAGCAGGTATCTGTGTGTGTTGCAGGTGGACCCATGAAATGAGCAGGTATCTGTGTGTGTTGCAGGTGGACTCATACAATGAGTAGATGCCTGTGTGTGATGCAGGTGGACTCATACAATGAGCAGGTATCTGTGTGTGATGCAGGTGGACTCCTAAAATGAGCAGGTATCTGTGTGTGTTGCACGTGGACTCATACAACAAGCAGGTATCTGTGTGTTGCAGGTGGACTCATGAAATGAGCAGGTATCTGTGTGTGTTGCAGGTGGACTCATACAATGAGCAAGTATCTGTGTGTTGCAGGTGGACTCATACAATGAGCAGGTATCTGTGTGTTGCACGTGGACTCATACAATGAGCAGGTATCTGTGTGTTGCAGGTGGACTCATGAAATGTGTGTGTTGCGGGTGGACTCATACAATGAGCAGGTATCTGTGTGTTGCACGTGGACTCATACAATGAGCAGGTATCTGTGTGCTGCAGGTGGACTCATGAAATGAGCAGGTATCTGTGTGTGTTGCAGGTGGACTCATACAATGAGCAGGTATCTGTGTGTTGCACGTGGACTCATACAATGAGCAGGTATCTGTGTGTTGCAGGTGGACTCATGAAATGTGTGTGTTGCGGGTGGACTCATACAATGAGCAGGTATCTGTGTGTTGCACGTGGACTCATACAATGAGCAGGTATCTGTGTGCTGCAGGTGGACTCATGAAATGAGCAGGTATCTGTGTGTGTTGCAGGTGGACTCATACAATGAGCAGGTATCTGTGTGTTGCAGGTGGACTCATGAAATGAGCAGGTATCTGTGTGTGTTGCGGGTGGACTCATACAATGAGCAGGTGCCTGTGTGTGTTGCGGGTGGACTCATACAATGAGTTCCTGATTCACATTCTGTCTTGTGATGATTAGCTGACATTGCCCTCATTAGGTGCTGGAGTAAAACACAAACCGATGACAACTGGGCTAAAACTGATACAGACATAATATCTAACAACAAACAAACATATTTATTTTGGTAAATGTTCTTTTTTTCACCCGTGTTTTTAAACCATAGTAATTGCGTTTTGGGGGGGGCAATATTTATTTAATTCGGTTTTAGTGTATAGCATCAGCGCGGTTACAATACCTTTCTGTGGTTTCTCTGCTCAGGTGAGGCTTAGCTGTGGACTTCACCCGTTACCTGGACAGCCCCAGCTATTTGCATTAATGATTAATATGGGAAGGGCAGGGAGCATCCTGTGGGATGGAGGGGGTGACACTTTTTCCACATACAGAGATGGAGGACAGAGAAAGATAACCGTCATTTAGACACCACTCACAGAGAGCTCAAAACACGCATCATGGCGAAGGGTTCAAACTGTTCTCTGGATGGCGGGAGCTTCCCGCTGTCATCTGAGTTTTTTCAAGGTAATGTGGCTCCTATCAGTATTTATGGTGTATCGTGTATAGTATTTACGTGCAGTGTCGCACAGCATGACACTGGGTTTAGTATTTACATGTAGTGCCCCACCACCTGGCACTTGGTTTAGTATTTACATGCAGTGCCCCACGGCCTGGCACTGGGTTTAGTATTTACATGCTGTGTCCCACTGCCTGGCACTGGTATGTAAATACTAAACCCAGTGCCAGGCCGTGGGACACCGCATTTAAATACTAAAACCAGTGCTGTGTCCCACGGCCTGGCACCACTGAGTTTAGTATTTACATGTAGTGCCCCACCACCTGGCACTTGGTTTAGTATTTACATGCAGTGCCCCCACAGTCTGGCACTGGGTTTAGTATTTAAATGCTGTGTCCCACGGCCTGGCACTGAGTTTAGTATTTACATGCTGTGTCCCGCGGCCTGGCACCACTGAGTTTAGTATTTACATGCTGTGTCTCACTGCCTGGCACTGGTATGTAAATACTAAACCCAGTGCCAGGCCGTGGGACACCGCATTTAAATACTAAAACCAGTGCTGTATCCCACGGCCTGGCACCACTGAGTTTAGTATTTAAATGCTGTGTCCCACGGCCTGGCACTGAGTTTAGTATTTACATGCTGTGTCCCACGGCCTGGCACTGGTTTTAGTATTAACATGCTGTGTCCCACGGCCTGGCACTGGTTTTAGTATTTAAATGCTGTCTCCCACTGCCTGGCACTGGGTTTAGTATTTACATGCTGTGTCCCACGGCCTGGCACCAATGAATTTAGTATTTAAATGCTGTGTCCCACGGCCTGGCACTGAGTTTAGTATTTAAATGCTGTGTCCCACGGCCTGGCACTGGGTTTAGTATTTAAATGCTGTGTCCCACGGCCTGGCACATGCTGGCCTGGCACTGGGTTTAGTATTTATGCTGTGTCCCATACATGCTGTGTCCCACGGCCTGGCACTGAGTTTAGTATTTACATGCTGTGTCCCACGGCCTGGCACTGGGTTTAGTATTTACATGCTGTGTCCCACGGCCTGGCACTGGGTTTAGTATTTACATGCTGTGCCCCACGGCCTGGCACTGGGTTTAGTATTTACATGCTGTGTCCCACGGCCTGGCACTTGTTTAGTATTTACATGCTGTGCCCCCACAGTCTGGCACTGGGTTTAGTATTTAAATGCTGTGTCCCACGGCCTGGCACTGGGTTTAGTATTTACATGCAGTGCCCCACGGCCTGGCACTGGGTTTAGTATTTACATGCTGTGTCCCACTGCCTGGCACTGGTATGTAAATACTAAACCCAGTGCCAGGCCGTGGGACACAGCATTTAAATACTAAAACCAGTGCTGTGTCCCACGGCCTAGCACCACTGAGTTTAGTATTTAAATGCTGTGTCCCACGGCCTGGCACTGAGTTTAGTATTTACATGCTGTGTCCCACGGCCTGGCACTGGTTTTAGTATTTACATGCTATGTCCCATGGCCTGGCACTGGTTTTAGTATTTAAATGCTGTGTCCCACGGCCTGGCACTGGGTTTAGTATTTAAATGCTGTGTCCCACGGCCTGGCACTGGGTTTAGTATTTACATGCTGTGTCCCACGGCCTGGCACTGAGTTTAGTATTTACCTGCTGTGTCCCACTGCCTGGCACTGGGTTTAGTATTTACCTGCTGTGTCCCACTGCCTGGCACTGGGTTTAGTATTTACCTGCTGTGTCCCACTGCCTGGCACTGGGTTTAGTATTTACCTGCTGTGTCCCACGGCCTGGCACTGGGTTTAGTATTTACCTGCTGTGTCCCACTGCCTGGCACTGGGTTTAGTATTTACCTGCTGTGTCCCACGGCCTGGCACTGGGTTTAGTATTTACCTGCTGTGTCCCATGGCCTGGCACTGGGTTTAGTATTTACATGCTGTGTCCCACGGCCTGGCACTGAGTTTAGTATTTAGCGTTTTTGGAGGGAATGCCCGCCTGCCAGCGTTAAGGCAGACCCCCCTAGACGGGTCCTACTCTGACCCTTCAGCCTGCTTCCTTGAGCTTCTGGCAAAGATATCTCTAATGAGACAGAGAGGTATTTGTTATATACACCCCTATATACTTATTAACCCTTAATAGGGAACACATGGGAGGGGCGGCAGCATTGTAACCAACTGTGTGATACAAAAAGTGAATACAAATACAAAAAAACAAGTCCTGCGCTCACTCCCATCACTACTGGGTGGCAGCTATGACCACAGTACACATTAGCCCCAATACATATAGTAAAAACCAAAGAAAAACCTGCGCTCTCTCCTAAATCCCTATGTATATTTAAACAAATGGAGGTCATTTAGTTACTCCAATAGCCATTGGAGGGAATGTCTACCTGCCTGCTATGTTACAATGCTGCCGCCCATCCCATATGTTCCCTATTAAGGGTTAATAAGTATATAGGGGGGTATAGAAAAATTACCCCTCTCTGTCTTATTAGAGATATCTTTGCCAGAAACTCAAGGAAGCAAGGTGAAAGGTCAGTGTAGGACACATCTGAGGGGGTCTGCCTTGACGTTGGCAGGCTGGCATTCCCTCCAATGGCCATTGGAGTAACTAAATTACCTCTATTTGTTTAAAAATAAATATGGATTTAGGAGAGAGCGCAGGTAACTTTCTTTGGTTTTTACTGTATGTATTGGGGCTAATGTGTACTGTGGTCATTGCTGCCGCCCAGGAGTGATGGGAGTGAGCGCAGGACTTGTTTTTTTGTATTCACTTTTTGTATCACACAGTTGGTTACAATGCTGCTGCCCATCCCATGTGTTCCCTATAAAGGGTTAATAAGTATATAGGCGTGTATATAGAAAATACCCCTCTCTGTCTCAGAGAGATCTTTGCCAGAAGCTCAAGGAGGCAAGGTGAAGGGTCAGAGCACAACCGTCTAGGGGGGTCTGCCTTGACGTTGGCAGGCGGGC